ACGTCTGTGCTCCACGAGAGGTTGGCCTCAGCTTGGACGTCCTGTAGAATCTGAGATGGCCAAGCAGCTCCACCAGAGCTGCATCGCTAGGGCCTTGGTCCCGGCTGCAGGCTGTGTTCCTTGCCTCTTCACCATCCCATGTTTGCTAGGACTGGATTATTCAATATGAATTTGTGCTCGTATGTCTGATGACTGGGCTGGGATCACTAGAACAGCCGGGCCCAGCTTGGCATCTTGCTCTCAGTACACGCCTCCAAGTGGCTTGCTCGGGCATCCTTCCAACACGGCGGTCTTCGGTGAACTGGACAGCTGGCCCCTTTCCAGAGTGAGTAATCCAAGGCCAAACCGAAACTCCAAGGGTTCTTATCACCTAGACTTAGAATTCAGTGTCCCTCCTCCCACATTCTGCTGACCAAGCAAGTCACTAAGGCCAGTCCTGGTTCCAGAGGAAGGGAAACAAACTCCACCTCTCCATCAGCAGAGTGCCAGAATCTGCAGCCATCTTTAGGCTTTGAAGCCCATGCTGCCTACCAGCCACGATCTAGTACTCCAGCTGGTGGTTTCTCCACGCCCTTCTCCATGGGGTCTCAGAACCATCCTTCTTAACCACAGATCTAACCATGTCATCTTCCTGCCCCTCTCACACACCCACTCGTGTGCATGCACACACACTCACAAATATAGAGTTCTTCAATTGTTGCCAACCAGGGTTCTTGGCCTTCCCCCAATCGATAGAAATTGACCAGAGACCAGAGGAGAACTTCAGGCAAGGCTTTATTGGGGTGCCTGCTTGCTTGCTTCTTGAGGGGGAGGCAAGCTTCTTCCTTCTACTGGATGACAGCAGGGTGTGTCCAGGGGTCAGGCCAGAGCGGTGGCTTAGGTGGTCTGCCCTCTCCACCAGGAGGTACTGTGTACAAGGAACATGTGCAGTACCCTGTTTTTGCTCCCAACCCCCTGGCTTTGCTCTAGGCACTTCAAAAGTGGCAGTTGAATTTTTTTGGTCTCTTTGTATCTTTTGTCCAGAATTTGCTCCAAATGTGCATTGTTATTCAGTCACTAAGTCCTGTCCGACTCTCTGTGATTCTATGGACCGCAACATGTCAGGCTTCCCTGTCCTTCACCACCTGCTGGAGTTTGCTCAAACTTATGTCCATTGAGTCGGTGATGCCAAATGTGCCTGCTTACGGTTATTTTCAGTCCCATACAGTTTGTTTCTTGTTGCTTGATGAGAGGTGTGTCCAGGTGCAGGCAAAGGATTCCAGGTCCCAACTATCTCATGATCTCTCCTGAAGGCTCCCCGAGTTCCTTGGTGTTCACAGCTCAGGAAGTTCTTCAAGGCCCAGCTTCTACGCACTTCTCTCCTCCTCTCCCTCATCCCCTATTCTCCATCCTAATTTAGTCACACTACTCCCTCCATATCCACTGGGGAATTCGTTCCAGCCCCCACTCCCACAGTGGATACCAAATTCTCACATGCTCAAGCCCCTTTTATATAATGGCTTAGTGCAGTCAGGCCTCTGCATCCACAGTTCAAGATTCACCGATTCAAATATCACGGAACCTGCAGATACAAAGTCCACTGTACTTGTCATTCCAGAAATCCCCCTGTCTTTCTCCGGGGCCTTTACATGTGCTGCCTTGGTAGCAGTCCTGCCTCCTCTGGCTATTTCCTCCAGCGGCAGCTCATCTTTCAGACAAAGCATCTCTGACATCCGCCCCACCCCAGCCCACCCTGCAAGGTGCACCTTTATCTTATGCACTTTGTCATATCTGTTCGTGCATCCTTCCTCCCTTTTAGACAATGAGCTCTTTGCAGCTAGGAGCCATATTTCTTTTTTACATTTTTTAAGTCTTTACTGAATTTGCTACAACATTGCTTCTGTTTTATGTTTTGGTCATAAGGCAGGTGGAATCTTAGCTCTCCAATCAGGAATTGAACCTGCACCCCTGTCACTGGAAGGTGAAGTCTCAACCACTGGACCAACAGGGAAGTCCCAGGAGCCATATTTCTGAGGGTGTTGTCTTTGCCTGAGAGAGGACACGAGAGCAGTGTGCACACTTTGGCCCTGGTGCAAACAGCCGACTCATTGGAGAAGATCCTGATGCTGGGACAGACTGAGGGCAAAAGGGGGTGGCAGAGGATGGGATGAGATGGTTGGATGGTGTCACTGATTCAATGATCATGAGTTTGAGCACCTCTGGGAGATAGTGAAGGACAGGGAAGCCTGGCACGGTGCAGTTCATGGGGTTGGGAAAGGGTTGGACTCAACTTAGCGACTATACAACAATGTTACAGATGAAGTGACCCAACCAAAAACACACTGGGAGTAACCAAGGGAGTTAGAATCAAGCTTCTTGGGCTTGATTCTAAATTCTGGATGGCTTGGATTCTTTGCTCAAGGCACGTGCCTGAAGAAGCTTGCTGCAGTTCAACCAGAATAGTTCCAATATCTGCAAATGAGTATATGGAAAATGCAGTCCTCTGAAATGTGTCTTACTCACTCGCTGGAGGTCCAGCCCCACCATGGGGTTAGCTTTTGCCTGGGCTGTTTCCAGAGGAGCCTTCTGGGGAAAAGGATCAATGGCAAAATTGGTAGATCCAGAAAGGCTTTTGCAATAAAAGCTTTTTATGCCTCTTGTTCAAAGCGTTTAAGTGCCTTTTAGATCACAGATTGAACCATCGACATTATAAAGTGGAACCTTTTAATACCAAAATACACTTCCAGAGTAAAATTCCATTATGGGAAAAAGCATTTCACGGCACTAGGCTAGATAATACTCTCACGTGTAATAGGATATATGAAATGTTTGATGATAAACAGAGTTTCTCAGCATTGTAATAAGACGACTCACGCCACTCTGTGTGTATGTGTGTATGTTGTGTACACATAAGAAGTTTCATCTCATTTTGGACACCAGTTTCTTTATCTGTAAGCAGTAAGAATTGGGGTTGATGGGTACTGAGGTGCTTCCTGTTGTCAGATTATATGGAAAAGTCATTTTCCTACTCTTGGTTTCCATTTTCTTATTCTTAAAATGAGGGTTTTTTAATCAATCAGGAAACTTTTAGTTGCAAGTGATAGCACAAACTGTCTTAAGCCAAAAAAAAAAAAAGTGACTATCATGGCTCATGTCTCTACAAACCTTGGAGTGTTTTGGTTCAGGCAACAGTGTATCCAGCAATGTTACAAGGACTTGCTGCCCCTCTGTCTCTTGACATTGTGATCAGTCAAGCTCCTTCCCTTTGCCCCAAGTTCACATTTTTGGCCAGGAGAGCAGAAAGAGAACTTTTTCTCAGTATTTCCCACCAAAGCCCCTGGGTCGAACCTCATCTGCTCAGATTGGATCATGTGTCCCTCCCTGGGCCAATCAGCATTTTTGGGTACAATTACACTAGTTGGCCAGGCCTGGGTCACATGACCATCCAGAGTGGAAGCAGGAAGTGGGGTCTGCACCTTTCAGCTGTGAAGTAAAAGTTATAGAGGATGGTTCCCTTTGGACTCCTAGGAAGCTGCTGATAGAGGAAGGAGGAGAGGATGTGGGGCAGGGGAAACGGCAGATATGCATTTGGGGTTTGAACTCGCTCTAGCTGGCCCAGAGGCTTGCTCAAGCTGTAGATGCTTATGAATAATAAATTCCTGGTGCCAGAGGCACTTTTGAGATGATTAAATCCCATGTTTTTGCTTCAAGTTAAAGAGACTGAGGCTCACAGGGGAGAAGTGACCGACTCAAGGTCACTTGAGTCTTCAGTAGCAGGCCTACCACAAGCATTCAGGCCTCTTACCCTCAGCTTCACGCTCTTGGACTCTCCTCTTTGAACTTTGCAGCAAGAGAGGCCTCCTGGAAAGGGGAGACCCAGGGGAGCCTCCCCTCGGTCTGGTTCGGGCTCTGCTGTTTATACTAGCTTCTGCTGACAGCAGCCCTCCGGCACAGCAAATTTGAATATTTCAGGTTGGCTGATGCCTTCTAAGTTTCCTTACACAGTTAGGACTCTCAGATGTGATTTCTGATTATGTTACTGATGTGCTGTGTGCTCTTGGTCAGGTCACTTAACCTCTCTGGGTAGCAGTTTCTCAATTTGTAAATTTACCCTTATATCAGAGTTCCTCCTTATTGCTTCTCTCCCCACAGGTACCCCTAGGATCTCTTGTGTTCTAGAAGACCTCCCAGGGGGATCTCTTGAATGTATTGGAATACATCTCAGGAATGTATTAAATGGCCTTGTGTTCTAGAAGTTCATCTAATACTCCGCAATCGAAGCTTCCATGAATGCTTGATTAACTTCTCTAAGGAAGAATTTGCATTTTAACAAAGGATTTAAAGAGTACAGGGGCTTCCTAATAATGAGAGTGTTCCAGGTAGTGTGGAATGGACATATACCCAGCTCTGGAGAAGACCACATCTGGGTTCAAACCTTGACTCCTTCAGCTGGTTTAACCTTAAACTTCTGGTAAAACCAGAGATGGCCTCTGTTTCCATCGCTGGAGAGTGGGGATCCTTCAGAGTGGTTGTGTTTGTGCCAGAGCAGGATCCAATCTGGGGAGGACACGTGGCAGCAGGGGACATGCCCAGCAGTACCCGAAGTCAGAAGGAAATTGTCAGCACAGCCCCCTCTCTGTATCCCATTCAAGGGAATTATGGCAGTGACATTGCCTCTCTGGTGTTACGGGTTGAATCATGTCCCCAGCAAGATAAGTTCAAGTCCTAACCCCTGTACCTGCAAATGCTAACTTACTTGGAAACAGTCATTGAAATTGTAATCAAGTTAAAGACTTTGAGATGAGATCATCCTGGGTTTAGGGTGGCCCCTGAATCCAGGGACTGGTGTCCTTAAAAGAGAAAGAAGAGGGAGATTTGATGGACACAAAGGAGAAGGCCATGAGAAGACAGAGGCAGAGATTGGAGTGATGCTGCCACAAGCCGAGGAGTGTTGAGACATGCCCAGAGCCATGAGAAGCTGGAAGAGTCAAGGAAAGATTCTCCCCTAGTTTTTTATCCTGATGACACTTTGGGGGGGTTTTATTTGTTCTTTTAATATTTATTTTATTTATTTATTTGGCTGCACCATGTTATGGCATGTGGGATCTAGTTCTCTGACCATGATTGAACTTGGGTCCCCTGCATTGGGAGCCGGGATCCTCAGTCGCTGGACCACCAGGGAAATCCCCCTGCTGACAGTTTTATTTTTGACTTCTGGTCTTCAGAACTATGAGAGATACATTTCTGCTCTTTTAAGTCACCTGTTTGTGGCAATTTGTCATGGCAGTCACAGGAAACTAATACAGCTACCAACCTACGTTTATGATAAAACAGAAACTTTGGAACTCCCCAGGTGGGAAGGATCCAGCTGTCAAGAAGGAACTGGAGGTTTGGTCTCTGGGTCGGGAAGATTCCCTGGAGAAGGAAATGGCAGCCTACTGCAGTATTCTTGCCGGGAAGTCCCATGGACAGAGGAGCCTGGCGGGCTACAGTCCACGGGGTCTCAGAGTCAGACACGACTTAGTGACAACACAACAACAGCAAAAACCTTCCAGCTACTGTCTGCTCTGCTCACCTTCGTAAGCTCTGCCCTGTGTGGGACTCCCCTGGTGGTCCAATAGCTAAGATTCCAAGCCCCCAAAACAAGGACCCTGCGTTCGATCCCTGGCCAGGGAACTAGATTCCGCATGCCACAACTAAGAATTCACATGCTTCAACTAAGACCCAGTGCCGCCAAACAAACAGATAAATGATAAAACAGAAACTTTGCAAGTTCTGTGGCCTTGACTCAAACTGCCTTTCTGACTACAAAGTAATTTCATCTCTCTCTCTCTCTCTTTCTCTCGCCCCTCCCCTCCATTCATTCTCAGCATGTGCCCTATCTTTATGTTCAGTCTGATTACCCATGGAAATTTCCCCTACTGAGCTGATTAATCAAAATACTGAGTCATTCATATTACGCTTATAAATTCCTGATGGTGCTTAAACCTAGTAACAGATATATGCAAATAAACCCAGTTACAACCAGAGTGATTATTGGTGATTTAATTCCCTCCAGGATCATCAGAAGGAGTGAAATTATATGGCGGGACTGCATTTTTAATGATACGTGTTTACTAATAGGAAATATATCAATACATTATACATGCATAGGCTTTGGTGAGTCAGCCATCTCAAACTATTCATTTGTTCATTCAACAGTTTTTTATGGGCCTGTGTACCAGGTACTGTTGCAAGGCCTCTGCTCTTAGGGAATCTTTCTTCTCGTGCAGGAGACAAACAACTGAATGTGCAACGAAATTGGATGTTGACTTTGAAGGTGAAAGCGTTAAAGGAAGAATACAGGGTGCTGAGAGAGTAAAGTTGAATGCAGTGGTTGAGGGCATGGGCTCCGGAGGCAGAATCCTTGGATTTGAATTGCAGCCCTGCCACGCATTAGCTGTGTGCCTAAAATAAACTTCTGACATTGTTGGGCCTCCCTTTCTTAGTTCCCTAGTCCTTCAGTTCACTTCCGTTGCTCAGTCGTGTCTGACTCTTTGCGACCCCATGAACAGTAGCGCTCCAGGCTCCTCCATCCAAGGGGCTTCTCCCAGCAAGAATACTGGAGTGGATTGCCATGCCTTCCTGCAGGGGATCTTCCTGACCCAGGAATCGAACCAGAGTCTCTTGCATCTCCTGCATTGGCAGGCGGATTCTTTACCACCAGCACCACCTGGGAAGCCCTTCAAGCCTGGTACTTCTTTCTGTTCAATGGATAGCCTGTAATGAACCAGAAATTAACCTGAAATAACCAAGTTCCTCTGACTTGGGTAGGACTCAGTCTCCTTCGCAAAGGGCAGTAGCTGGCTCTGCCTGCTCTTTCAACCTTCCAATTGTTGCTTCCCTTTGGGGTAGGCTTGGAGGTTTTCTCATACAGGTGCAATCCATCGATCAGCCAAAGACTTCAGAGGCGTTGATCCAAAGGCTTTAGGGCTGCCCCTATGCTCCCTCCATTCTATTAATATGACCCCCTGCTCCTCCCCAATTTCCAATTATTCTAGCAGTTCAGACTCCACCCTCCGACTCTTCAGTCTCAAAGGACTGTGGTTTTCTTCTAGAGTTCTAGCCACCTTGTAGACTGCGGAGTGTTCTCAATGGAAAGGTCCGATAAACATGGGTTTCCCCCACACGGGCTCCCTTCCTTCAAGGGTCAAATCCCCTTCAGTCTGCCTGTTGGCTACCATCCTGTGGGAGGTGAGCATGACGTAAGTGAGTCCACCACGGCCACTGGAACTCTCTGTTTTTCTTTTTGGCTGTGCTGGGTCTGTGTTTCTGCTTCTGGGCTTCCTCTAGCTGCAGTGACGGGGGTCACTTATTGAGGCACGTGTGCATCTCATTGCAGGGGCTATTCTTGTTGCAGAGCACGAGCTTCAGGCGTGCTGGCTCAGTGGTTATGGCACATGGGCTTTGTTGCCTCCTGGCTTGTGGAAACTTCCTGAGCCAGGGGTCGAACCCATGTCACCTGCATTGGCAGGAGGATTCTTATCCACTGCACCACCAGGGAAGTCCTCTGACTTCTTCTTTTTTTTTTTTAATCTGTATTCCCTCCTTGGGTTAGTTCATCCATCCTCATGGATTACCCATTTTCATTTCTTTTCTTTTAAATTAATTTTTATTGCTTTATAATGCTGTGTTAGTTTCTACTAATCAGCCATATATATACATATATCCCCTCTTTTTTTGGATTTCCTTCCCATTCAGAGAGCACGGAGTGGGAGTTCTTAGCTCTACAGTAGGTCTGCATTAGTTACCTATTTTATACAAATTATAGATAGTGTATATATGTCAATCCCAGTCTCCTAGTTCACTCCTCTCTCCCTTCTTTCCCCACGTGGTGTTCATACTGTTTGTGTCTCTGTTTGTGTTTTGCAAATAAGATCATTGATATTATTTTTATAGATTTCACATATACGCATTAATATACAATATTTGTTTTTCTCTTTCTGACTTAGTCTGCATGACCGACTCTAGGTCATCCAAGTCTCTACAGATGACCCAATTTCATACCTTTTTTATGGCTGAGTAATATTCTATTGTCCATTTTAATTTCTAACCAGGTGAATATGTGATGATGCTTCCCAAGGTTTTCTTTCTGCCCTCTGAAATCTGCATAGATATGAACATAAACGTAGAGCAATGGGCCTTAAAGATGTAGAAGTTGGAGCTGAAGCAGAAGTTTTAACAGGCAACATTGCAAAGTTTTCAGAAAAGGAAAGAGAAACTAGGGCAGACTGTAGTATTATAGAGGCCCATTATCATTTCCTTTCTTTTAAATTAATTTTTATTGCTTTATAATAAGGAGGAGGAGCATGTTCAGGAGAACATGCTTTAAGGAGAGATAATGGGCCAGGCGTGCGCCAGTGGTCTTGTTTGTTTCTCCTATCCTGAGAACCTAGCACAGCACCCCGGCCGTAGTAGGTGTTCAATAAACCTTTGTTAAACAATAAATGCATACACTTCGATTTATACTTGCAGATTCCTTGAAGGGCTCTGCACTGTGTCCTGAGTCCTCTTAAAGTTGCTTCACAGATTTTTAAAACACCTGAGGCTTTATCTCTATGCTGTAAGACCAATGCCAGGCAGAGGAAACAATAATCTAGTCCACAGATTATCCTGTGGCTTATGTTTTAATTTCCAAAGATAAATGTTACCTCTGTTAGGTCATGAGTTCTGCCTCTGCTGCAGGTGTTAGCTTCTGAAAATATTGTCTGAGCTCAGCTCCCTGGTGAGGAATACAAATCCTGGGAAATTGCAACCAGGGTTTCTTTTATAATGGTCACTAATGGTCTGCAATCAAGGCACACCTGTTAGAGGCAAAGCAACAATTGACTTGTTTGCTTGACGTGCATATAATTTATCAACAGCCTGATTATTCACTCTCTCTCAAGGTATTATCTAGAGAAATATATGCAGAAAAAGAGTGGGGAAAAGTCCACTGACCTAGTTTCAGTGTGGACTTATCACAGCTTTGGAGTCAAAGAATCCCAAGTATAAAAGCCCCCCCTGTCACTAATGAGCCACAGTCATGGTTAAAGATCCTATTCTCACATAATAGGAAATTATAATCACACCTGCCTTTCAGGATTGATAATAAGGATTACGTAAGTCAGCCACCTCTCAATGTCTCCCATAACAGATGTGCAATGCCTTTTCATTCCAGTCCCATTTTGCTATTTTCTAGGAATTCTGTTAATCTCCACCTGATCTTGACACTTATGTCAGTGATCAGGTTTCTGAAGATCTGGGACCATGTGTGTTCTATGTTCCATTTGACATCATTGGTCTTACAGCACAGAGATAAAAGCCTCAGGTGTTTTTTTTTTTTTTGGCCTCGGGTGTTTTAAAAATCTGTGAAGCAACTTTAAGAGGATCCAGGACACAGTGCAGAGCCCTTCAAGGAATCTGCTAGTGTAAATCGAAGTTTATTCATTTATCGTTTAACAAAGGTTTATTGAATACCTACTATAGCCCAGGTAAGAAGAGCATAATCATTGACATCTCAGAGTTGAGTTCAAATCCTGCCTCAACCACTTATTGGTTGTGTGACTTTGGGCAAATTGCCTGCCTAAGTTCTCCAAGACTTAATTTCCACATCTGCAAAATGGGCTAATTATGGTACCCGCCTCATAGAGCTACTGGGAAGACCGAAGGAGGCACTAGATGTGAAGTACTTGGGTCCATGTCTGGTGCATGGTAACTGCTGAGATATGTTGGTTGCTATTATTTAAAAATATTTGCCTGTGGACTAATTGATAGGGTATGGGTTTAGTTAAAGCCAGGAGGTGGTGATGGTGATGATGTGTGGAAAAAAGGAAAAACACTTTCCACACAGTGACTATATTTAGCAGCAAATCTCTCCAGTTCTTTTTGTCATGAAAAGATTTTGTTTTGCTCAGAGCCCCTTTGAGTCTCATAATAATGCTTATATATAGTGCCTTTTGTCTCAGAATCTTGTAGCAGTCTTGAAATCAAAACAACAAGAGCTGGATGGTTGCAAAGATAAAAGCAACAATTTGCTTTTCTGTTTGGAAAAGCTCTTCTAACTTTCCTAGTTTGCAACTTGGCAGCTGGATGTGAACATGTATGTGTATGTGACCTGGGTCCGTGGCAAACCATTGGCAATCCACGATGGCACCTGCTTGTAGCTTGGCTCTTGGAGATGGAGTGAAGTGCACCTCCTGATGTTTTGAAGGAAGAAAATAAGGGAAGGATGAGCAGAAGGAGGAGGCAAAAACTTTACTGAGTGCCTACCAGGAGCCAGGAATGTTACATATGCTGTATCATCGAATCCCAACAACTGCTAGAATTTACAGATAAAGGAGGAAGCTCAGTGAGGTCAATAATTTATCCAATGGCATGCAGCAATTAAATATAGAAAGAAGTTCCAAAATCTGTTTCTTTCATAAAATCTACACTCCTATCACATTACCATACTGCTTCCTCCTTTTTTTTAAAGGATGTTTGCCTTCACTTTCAAAAAGCATGGAGTGGGAGAAAGGAGGAAAGCTCCACATCATTGAGAGAGTTTGGGGGTGTCAGGTCCCATATGCAACGTGGGGAGTGGAACAAAAAGGGGAGATGG